GCGGCGGCTCGCGCCACTGCTGGTTGGTCCTGCTCCTTCGTCGGCGTCGGCGCCCGAGCCCGCCATTTTGCCTTGGGAGCCAGTTGCGGTCTGCGCAACTGCACCTCTTCACGCCCCCCAGTGCCAGACGGCTCGATCGACTGCGCGCTGATCGGCGGCGGCGGCCGATATTCCCGCGGGGAGCTATGCGACGAGCCCTCCGACGAAGGGGGGGCCTCGCGCGGCGCAGGCTCGTGGCTTCCGCAACTGCGGTCTCCCTCAGGCGCCGCGACTGCGGGCTGCGCGGCGGCCCCTGTCACGCCGAACTTCTCTCGCAGTTGCCGCTTCAGCTCGGCGAGCCGCTGGTCGAGCTCGGCTTTCTCACGTGGGTCCATGGCGCGGCCGCGCGCGGCCCCCGTCCGACGGGGGAACTGCGGCCGGCTTGGGCGGGGAAGGACAACGAGGGAGACGGCGGGGATGAGGACGAGGAGGGCGAAGAGGAGGATGGAGACGACGAGAAGGAAGAGGATGCCGCGAAGAGCTCAGACGAGGATGAAAGGAGGAAGGGCTGCGACGAGGGTGACGGGGCAGAAACGGAGGAGGGGGAATCGAGAAAGTCCGCAACTGCGGCCGTCGGAGGGGACTGCGACGAGGACGACGGGAAATGACTCGGCCAACGGAGGCGGGCTACGGCCAACGGAAGAAAGGGCTAATGACGGAGGCGGGCCACGCCTACTGCGACGAGGAGGAAAGGCGGAGGGAGGGGACTGCGACGAGGACGACGGGGAAGGGGCGACGAGGACGACGAACAACTGCGGATCCATCTTTTTGCCTGTCTCCGCAACTGCGGCCGCGCTAACGCCACGAGTGCTTCAACGGAGGTGATGCGCGCCCGAAGCGCCTACAGCGGTCAGTCGTGGGAGCGCAGCAACTGCTGCCAAGCTGTATGAAGTCGCTAGAAGGCAGCGCCGCAACTGCGGCCGAAAGCGCGCATAGTGAGTCAAACGAGCGCGGCGTCACGCGATCGGTCCCCGCAACTGCGGTTCCACGGCTGCGCCCACTGCGGTTGAATTCCGCAGCTGCGGTGTCAAGGCTGCCCGGACCACCGCGGTTGCAGGCGCGACCCCTTGTTCGCGTCGAACCGCCCAGGATTCGCATGGGCGTGCAGCATCTTCCAGAACTTGAACGTTCCGTGGCCATCGCTCTTGCCAAGACCTGCCGTCGGGCCGCGCACGGGGTGCCAGTGCGGCTCCACCTCATACGTGTTGAACTCCGGGCTAGACCAGGATGGGTGGGCGCGAATGCCCGAGCCGTCGTCGCGGAAGAGGACGAAATCCCACTGGGGCAGAGAGATTGTTTGCGCCTGTCCTCTGTCCACCCCTTTCGCGTGCCTCATGTTGTCGAGACTGTTAGGGCACGGGCTGCGCTCGCAGCGGACCAACCCGCGACTGCGGTCATTGTCAGGGCCGCACACGACGCGCAGCATTGTAAGTCCATCCACCTGCGCGACCGTCTCCAGCCAAGACCACGGCACTTTGACAGTGTGGTCCCAGCCCCAATCCCTGTTGTCCTGCGCCTTCCCCTTTGCGCGGTACTTAAGGATCTTCGAAGTTTCCTCCGCAGCTGCGGTGCCTCCGAAGACGGGCGTGCGGCTGCCGAAAAGGTTTTCTCGGTCTTCGGACTCGTCTCGGAAAAACTTCAAGGCCGCGTTGTGCTGCTTATAATTCCCAGACCAGTCCGCCCTGAAGTCCTCGAAGAAGTCCAACCTGAAAATAGGCCCTGGCTCCTGGCCCACAGTTTGAGAAAGCGCAACTGCGCCTTGCCCTTCGCGTTCTGGGGGAAGTAGGGGACGGCCTCCTTTGCCCGCCGCTGTTGCGGCCGCGGGCTCCGCGGCAGGAGAACCACCCCAAGCACTCGAGCGGCCCCTTTCCCATGCATTCCAGCAGCCACCCTCGTCGTCCCACCGGCGGGCGCCCTCCATTCCCGAACCCTCCCATCCGTTGCCGCCCCATCCGCCGCCGCGCTCCCATCCGCCGCCCTCCCATCCGCGACTGCGGTCACTTCCGTCGCCGCCCTCCTGCGCTTTTCCCCCCCATCCGTCAAGAGAAGCTCCGCCGCCCCAGCCGCCACTGCGGTCACCTCCGCCACCGTATCCGCCACTGCGGCCGCCCCAATCCTCACTTGTTCCCCAACCGCCACCGCTGCTCTGTGAAGAATCCGCAACTGCGGCCCGTGTTTCCTCTTCCGTTTTGTCATCCCACCCTGCGCGCATCTCTGCCCCGACTGCAGGCCGCGGAGGCGGGCGCGAGCCCGCCCAACCGCCGTGGAACCTGCCGTCGGCGCGGGCTTGAGCCGAACATGCATGGAGGAGGATGACGAGGAGGAGGAGGGTGAAGGTGAGGAGGATGATGCGTTCCTGGGAGGTGTGTCTTCGCGTGCCAAACAAGAGCCCTGAGAAATCCTGAGGCTCCTTCAAGAGCCAAGGACGCGGATGACAAGAAAGTCGAGAAGATTGGGAAACGATTGAGGATTAAGAGGCGTGCGAAGGAGGACGAAAGGGATGATGACGACGAAGAGGAGGATCAGTGAAGGGGAGGAGTGGACAGGAATTAAAGAGGAGTGATAGCAGAGGAGGAAGAGGGGGAAGGGGGAGGAGGATGCGGAGGAGGAGGAGGAGGAGGAGGGAGAGGAAAAGGGGGGGAGGAGGAGGAGGAAGACGGGGAGGAGGAGGAGGAGGAGGAGGAGGAGGAGGGATGAGGGATGAGGGCCACCGAGAGCGCGTCCGACTCGAACACGCCACGGGATCAGAGGAACATGTAGAGGCGCACGCCGAAGACGAACGCCATGTGGCGGACGGAGGGGAGGGGCGGCGGGCCTGCTCGCTACGCGGCGAGCCCCCCTGCCAACCCCCCACTGCCACCCCCGTCCGCCCCGGAGTCTCCACCAGGGGGTCCACGACGCGGCTCAGCAGGCCCAGCTGGTCGAGGAGGCTCCGAAGCGGCGGCGGCCTCTCCGCTAAGGAGGGCACCCAGCTCGTGGGGGGCCACGCCGAGCCGAGCCGCCATGGCACGTGCCAGTGCCGTGCCGCGCGCGCCGCTGGGAGGCCGCCCGCCGCCCGTCGCCACCCTGGCCGCCGTCCGCCGCGGGGGCAGCTCGTCGGCCCAGGAGTCGTCCTGCAGGGGCGATGGCGGAGCAGGGGCCCCCCCCGCCTCCGCAGCCGCCGTTCCCGCGTCCTCCCCCTCCGCGTCCAAGACCATCGCCGTCGCCTGCTTCGCCGTGCCAGCCTTCTTGCCCCGCCCGCGCGGGCGGCGCCGCCGCCGCGGGGCGGCAGCGGGGGGGGGCGCCGCCTCGGGAGGCGCGGCAGGGGCGGGCGGCGCCGTCAGGGCGGCGATGGCCGTCCGCAGGAGGCCCTCGGAGGCGCGCACGAGGCGCTGGGCCTCGCGGCAGCCTCCAGTGAACCCAGCTGCAGCGTGCGTGGCTAGGAGCGCGCCGCGAAGGGCGTCCTCGGCCGCGCGCACACGGCGGGCGTCGAGCGTCGGCGGCATCGGCGACGGCGCGGGAGGCGCGCGGCGGCGCGACCCAGCGGGCGAGGCTTAAGCCAAAACCAACTGAGGACGAGGAGGAGGAGAAGGAGGAGAGGGAGAAGGGGGAGGGGGATAGGAGGACGAGGACGGAGAAATAGGACAAATGAGGAGGAGGAGGAGGAGGAGGCGGAGGAGGAGGAGGACGAGGAGGAGAAGCAGGAAGAGGAGGAGGAGAGGGGGAGGAAGAGTGCGCATGAGACGGAGAGAACGAGGTAGAGAGGGAACGGGGGAGGAGGGAGGACAAGGAAGAGGATACAGCGACGAGAAGAGGAGAAGGAACAGGCGAAAGCTCCTGCTGATCGCATTTCCGCATCGTTCAAAGCAGTGCCGGGGCACTGCTTTGAACGACTGGCGTTGTTCAAAGCAGTTCCCCGGCACTGTGGTCGTCGACGCCATTATAAAGGCTTTCGGATTACTTTGAATGACCGAGGAAATATTGCGGTGAGCGACACTGAAAGAAAGGCAAACACTGATGGATATTGGAACGAGCATCTTCTGACCGATCCCTATGACCACTGCCCCACTGGCCGACTTAATTACCCCTCTTGGCGGGGACATGCGCTATTTCCCTCGGATTTCGCGGGAGCTATTCCCGCCTGGGCGGGTGACATGGTGGGGCTGAGATACAGTGCGGGCGCGGACGCAAGAACGAAGGGGCCCTGAGACACACAAATGAATACACACAAATAAAAGTATTCCCCATATTTTCCCCATATTTTCTGGGTTTTTGTCTTCCCCCCCACTTCCCATATTTTCCCATATTTTTCTGGGGAATCGACAGTTAATTGTGTCTGTGTTTTTTCCTCTCCTTAAGAAACCCTCGCAATCAACCCAATCCTGAAAGCCCGCGGGCGAGGCTCACGTGAGGGGCAACCCAGAGCAACCCTGAACGCCGCAGCTCCTCCCACGGCCGCTGGGAGGCACCACGCGGCGCGCGGAGCGCAGAAGCCCAGGGCACCCTGACGCAGCGCACCTGGTGTCTTGCTGCGCGCCCCCACTTTACCAGGGCGCAGTGGGGCTAGGAATCGATTACAGTCGAGGCGTTGACCTAAGGAACCCCAAATCAGGAAGGAGGCCCCCTTTATTCCATAAGTTGAACTTCGATTTCCTCTCGAAAACATCAGGACAACCTGGGGCAAGCTGTGAAACACTTAAGGAACACGGAGCCCCTCCCCAACGAAAAGGGTTCCTTCTTCAGGGCCCCGACTGTAAGGTGATGACAGTCTTTGGGGCAGGATCTGCTTCAGGGTGGGCCTGGAAGGAGGGGGGTCGGAGCATCACGGCCACGGCGCCCTCTCGAAAACCGAGAAGGGACAATTCACTAATCGACGTGTCACTGTTGGGGGTTCTTTCCACCCCCGAGCGCCCCCACTTTACCAGGGCGCAGTGGGGCTGGGAATCGATGAGGTGCTGCTGGGCCAGAAGCCAGCGCCGGTCCCCCAGCATCAGGGAGCCGACCGTGCCCACCGCCAGGCCCGCGGCGATGATGGTGCAGTACGGGGTGCCCTGGCCCGCCCGGCTCGGTCGGCGCGCGTGCGCGCACTCGGGCGACGGAGCCGCGCGCGCAGGGCAGGGGCGCGAACTCCAATGGCTGGAGACATAGACGCTGTGCTGTGTCATCTGACTACCTACCAGACCACCCCAACCCAACCCGAAGACCCGAATTTGACCCGAATTTCGGGTTGGGGGGGGTACGGATACCACGTGTTTTTTCAACGTTCCCCGACCCCCCCCCACTGGAAATCGAGGATAAATTTGGACCTTCGGGTTGGGTTGGGGTGGTTTGGTGGGTGGTGATCATCTGCTTTGAGATGTCTTGGTCAGTGTGCCAGCTTCAATCGGGGATCGGCTGACTCAGGCCCCTGCAAGCCCGGGTCAGCCAGGCCGTGCAAGATCCTGTAGGATCCTGCAAAACCCTGCGGGATCCTGCATGCGAGCCCGTGTCAATGCAGCCCTGGTCCCCCAGGATCCTGCAAGATCTGGGCTCTCTGACTAACTACCGTTTGCATTGATCCCGTCTCTTGCACCCCGATTCAAAATCCTGCCGTTCCCGGACTCCAGATTCGTCAAACAATGACTCGGGATGAAGTGCGGGTGCCCAGGAAGGTTTAGAGCTCTGGGGCCCGCACATTCGTTAAGAACATGTCTTTGGGGGTCGCCAGTGCATTCGCGATACAGCTCCATCCTCCGACCATTTGCTCTGGCTCTATTTGGTATGTCTGGAAGATCGCCGCTAATCCGCCGTCGTGGTCGTCGGCGCCAACGTCAACCCGCGTGATTGTCGTTGTCAACGTCAATTTTGATCGTCATTGTCAACGTCAATTGTCCTCACCGTCCACGTTGTCCTCGTCGGAATGCCGAGGGCAACGTCGTCGTCCCCCCCTTAGAATCCGCCACTGTCCGAGGGGCACGATCTGGGCGGAGTTTCAAGGCGAATGCAGCCGCGGCGACGAGGGGGACGATTGTTTGAATATTGTTTTGACTATTTGAAAGTATTCTTGGGGTATCCTTAATTTTTCGCTCAAAATCCCCCTTTAGCAGGCCCGACCTAAACCTATCAAAACTGGTCCCCTGATCCCAACTGGGGTCCATCCTGGCCAGATCCTTCATCCTGAATCGACTCCTGACGGCCCCGGGGTCCGAAGAATCGACTCCAGAGGCCGCAAACACAGCGAACACATGCGAACATTGGAACGTCGAGGAACGTCGTCGCCGCCGCCGTCACCACCATCATTACTCCAGATTTCGTGATAAAGGGAGGGGGGTCTCACTTCGGGGGGGGTCTCTTCCAGGCTATCTTGGAGGGCCTGGGGGGGTCTGGGGACGATGTTTTGGAGGGTTCTCCCACGGGGGGGGTCTGAAATGGCTTGTCTTGGAGGGTCCAGACCCCCTCCCTTTTATTACGAAATCTGGAGTGTCCTCCTCCTCCTCGTCGTCGTGGTCGCCGCGGGGTCCGTCCTGCCGTCCTGGCCGATGTTGCATGCCTGGTCGACTCCGGACGGCCCCGGGGGTCCGAAAAACGGACCAAAGGCCAACCATCTTGAAGGGGCCCCAGGACACACAAAATAAATATACACACAAGTAAAAATATCCCCCATAGTTTCCTGTATTTTCTGGGTTTTCGTCTTCCCCCCCACTTCCCATATTTTCCCATATTCTCTGGGGAATCGACGATTAATTGTGTCTGTGTGTTTTTTTCCCTCCTGACATCTAAAGAACCCCTTCCGAACTGCAGAAAGACAAGAGGTGCCGTCGTCACCGCCGTCGACGCGTCCTCATCGTCGTCGCGTGGGCCATCCTAGCCAGCTCTTCATCCTGGATCGATCCCTGACGGCCCTGGGGCCTGAACAACTGACCCTGATGGCCAAACAACTAGGGCACAGCATTCGAGCATCGGGAAGTCGAGAAGCGTCGTCGTCGCCGTTCATGATCATCGTCGTCCTCGTCGTCGTCCTCGGCGTTTTCGTCGTCCTCGGCGCAATCCTCGTCGTCCTTGTCGAGGTCCTCGTCGTCGTCCTCGGCGTTTTCGTTGTTGTCGTCGTCGTCGTCGTCGTCGTCGTCGTCGTCGTCGTCGTCGTCGTCGTCGTCGTCGTGGTCGGTGTCCTTGTCGTCGTCTTGGTCGGTGTCCTTGCCGTCGTCGACACTGCCGACGTCGTCGTCGTTGTCGTCGTCGTCGTCGTCGTCGTCGTCGTCGTCGACGTCTTCGTCGTCGTCCCCGGCGGCGGCGGCCGCGCGGCGCGGCGCGCCCGCTCCGCCGACGAGTCGCCCTCGTCGTCGCTCTCCCCCTCGCGACCGCCGCCCGTGAAGTCGACGATCTGCCTCGCCCCGCCCGCCCGGCGGGGGCCGCGGCAGCCGCCGCGGCGTCGACGGGGGCGCCCGCGACGCCGGCGACGCCGATGGCAAGGGGAAGCGTTGCGGCCAGGCAGGTCGCGGCCAGGCACGCCGCGGCCGCCGCCCGTCGAGCGACGAGGGCGCAGACCGACGTCAAAAGAACCAACAACTGCATGAGCATACAATCGGGGCGTTGACCTAAGGAACCCTAATTTCGCCGGCCCAGCGGTAACAAGTAAACAGTATTTCTAGTTCGCGCGCGCGGGGCGGCCCCTAGGAAACCCCGGGCGAAAAGTACCCCGGCAGGTCCCCGGGAGGGTGCGGGTCAGAGATGCCGGACCGGGCAATTTTTCGACACCCCTCACAAGGATCGTGGCCTCCGAGGGGGGGGGGGGCGCAATCGACTACCCCCGCCCCTGCCCCAAGAGGCCCCCGAGAGCTCCCCAAGAGGCCCTGGGGGCCCCCAAGACGCCGCCAAGGAGCCCCAAGAGACTCCCAAGAGGTCCCCAAGAGGCCCCCAAGAGGCCCTCAAGAGGGCTCCAGGGCCGGCGGAATGAGCGAAGCGATTAAATAAGGAACGAGGCCCCTTTTTTCCCCAAGTTAAACTTCGACTTCCGATCGAAAACAGAAGGGAAACCTGAGGCATGCTGTGAGACACGTAAGGAACGCGGAGCCCCTCCCCAACCAAAAGGGTTCCTTCTTCTAGGGAGCCCACTAAGGACGTACGCGCCCAGCGATGTACATGAACACGGTCCCTCGATTCGCGAGACCGGCCGCGTTATACGAACATTTGTGCAATGCGTGCTCTCGAAACCAGCGTGGATTCATGTACATGTACGTCCTTCTTTCGCTCCTGATCTTCAGGGCCCCGACTGTAACCCTTCGGATTCCCGCGCGGGTCTCTCGGATCGGCGCTGGGCCCCGGTCCCCGGAGCGCGGAGCGCGCCAGGGGCGGTGCCGGAGGCGCCGCCACGGAAGTCCCAGCGCCGATCCAGGAACGCCGCGCGGCACTCCTGATGGGCCTGTTTTCCACCACCACCACCACCACCATACGTTGGAGGGGGAGGGGGTCCTCCTCCTCCTCCTCCTCCTCCTCCTGCTCCTCCTTCTCCTCTTTGTCCTTCTTCTCCTCCTCGTCCTCCACCTCCTTCCCCCTCCAACTTATGGTGGTGGTGGTGGAAACAGGCCCATCAACTCCGACGCTTTCTACGTATGCCGTTGTTGTTGGGCGCCCGACTTCTCCGGGGTAACTCGGGTCCGGGGTAACTCGGGTTTGGATTCCCGGAAAAGGAACCCGAGTTAGCCCTGACCCGAGATACCCCTGATGATTCGGGGCTCTGGGCGCCCGAGTTATCCGGGGTAACTCGGGTCTGGGGTAAGTCGGGTTTGGATTCCGGAAAAGGAACCGGAGTTAGCCCTGACCCGAGTTACCCCTGATGATTCGGGGCTCTGAGAAGCTTTCTATGTATGCCGTTGTTGTCTCGGACGCGCCGCCGTCGACGTCGACAGCAGCGCCGGCGGCCAGGCAGGTCGCCGCAGAGGACGACGACGGCGAGGACAACTCGCCAATCGTGCGGACGTCCATTCCGCGTGCACGTTTCGGCTCCGTGAGTGCATCTGCGTGTGTCTTGTCGCGGGGTGACCCAAGAGGCTCCCCGACCGTCCTCACCGAGAAAAGGTGCACACGTCCAAGCGACGCCAAGCCGAAGGCCACTACCGAACACGACGAACACGAGGAGGAAGGACGGTGCGAAACGAGGCCAAAGGCGGAGGGGAGGGGGGGAGGAGGAACGAAAAACTGGAGGAGGAGGAGGAGGAAGGAGGAGCCTTTCACCGCCAACCTTTGCGGCGTGTCAATAACAGCGTGGAACCCACACCGCCCTTCACTGGGCGCCCGCGCTACCGAGATCCAACCGACTTTGTCGACGCCCAACGACTTCTACAGGTTCCTTTGTTTCTTTCCGTGGCAGCTCATCCCATCTCGATATCCCCAGTACTGACTCGAGCTAAAGAAAAGAAGAGAAATAAAAAGTCCCCTCTAAGGTCCGGGGCGGGCGGGACGCCTCAGAAGAGCACCGTGGCGATTACCAGTGAATTTCAGCAACCCAGTTTACAGCGACTTCAGCATTGCTTTGCCATCCTTGCGCCTCTTTCGTTGCTGTCTGCCAGCTTTCCAGGCCTTGCGATTTGCATAATCTCCGCAGAAAATAAATCGCATCCACGGCTGCGTGCGACGACGGGCGCGTGAGCCGCGACGATCCCAATTCAGATACTGCGGCTTGCCATTCTGAGTCTCTCCACGCGGTCACCTTCTTCACCCAGGCTGACCAACTGGACGTCGCACATCTCGCGGCCCATTTCCTCTTCCGCCGGAAGTGTTCTGGCGCCCATTATGTAAGGCCGGCGTTGCCTGCGTGTTCCCGTGGTCTGTGTTGCGCGTTGAACCCGAACCACCCACTGCTCGCCCTCCTGCCGCCCACGCATGGCGCTCTGCGTCGCTTCGACCCTCCGCAATGATGTTGTTCGCAGCGTCGGCGACTCGGCAGCCCACGGCATGCTCTCCGTAGTAACTGCAGCGCCCAACAGCTTCAGACGCTTCTTCAACGAATACGAATGATGCAATCTCAGACGCTTCAGGCTCCCAAATGTTCTGCCACCCGGCCGCGACGCGGTTCCCGATCTCTGCCCCAGTGGCTTCCTCCAGTGAAGCGACCGTTCCGAGTAGCTCCACAACTTCCCCCATTCTCCAGAACGTCGATCCAAACATTGTCCGTCAAAGGGACCTGGCCTCTGCGCTCGAAGTCCAGCTGGCTGGTCTGCGCCTTACACTTGCTCGGGCGCAAGGACAGCCCCCTCTGCGCCAAGGGAATTGAAACAACCCATTCAACAACATTGGGTTTTCAACTGGCCCTAATCGCATGCACGCTGTCCTCTAAAACATGAACTTCAATTCCAGGCTCAGTCTTGTACTCAAGACACACCGCGGTGAGAAGAACTGGCAAGCAGCTTGTACCAACACAACGTATGGTGCAGTGAACAATCATGCGCCAGACTTCGTACCCTTGGCGTACATGATACAACATTCAACAAAGAGCAATGGATTGTTGCAGTTCCCTCTCGCAGTGCGGCTGCCTCACATTTCTAACGAATATCCTTCGGCTCCGCCGTTGTATACTCCACCCGCCGACCAAATCGACACAATGGGTGCATCGGGCCCGCCTCCAAACGTCCTTGCATATGTAACGCGCAACGCAATAGACATAGATGACTTTGCATGCGACCGTAGTGTTTCAACCGCGTTGCTGCTAACACTCAGCGACTCAGGCAGTCCCAACCTGCCAATCGGTTGCACAGCATGCTGGGGTGGGGTTATTGCATTATGGCTCGATGTTGTTGACACAAAGGTTTCTGACCAGTGTGTTCACCGGCGGACAAGCCAATTGATTCCGACACGGCCGCAGAAAACATATTTTTCCACGCAACCCATACCCGCCTGGCGCTAAGGTTAGACGCATACGTCTTCAGAAGTACAAAAGACCTCAATGGAGTGGGAGGTACACTTGGCGCAAAAAGAGAATATTCAAGGTGGCAATCCACCAACGATCACAACAACATATCTGGCAAAACCGCTACTATTGAATTAATGTGTCGCTCTAAACCAGATTTGCCTTCGGATTTCATGCAGGCAGCTGCGCACTTCGCTTCTCACAGCGAACTCGTCACATCTCGCGTGTTTGATATTGTCTGTCAAGACGCTAACACTGATTGTCAATCAGCCATATAGGAAACTTAACCTACGTTTGACAACAATTACCAAATGCTGCGAACACGTGCCTGCATCTTGTACGACGCTGTATCCCCGACGCTTCGGGCTCGCCATTTGTTATCGCATCACGCCGTCCTGTGCGCTGTCCCGGTCTTTGCCGCAACAGCTTCGTCGCTCATGTTTGCCTGACGCAAAGAGGAGGAAGGAGGCGGAGGAGCTGATCTGGACCTGACCTGGGCCCTGATGGTGGTTCACGTGGGTCCCCGAGGGTGCTTGCGCGCAGAGCAGATCGGCATGCAGAACAGAAATGATCGATGCGTATGCGGTCGAGGGAGGGTGCGGCCAGCTCCGCGGGTCGCAGCCCGCGGCGTGCGGCCTTCCTCGCGGCGCCTCGCACCGCCGCACGGGGAATGTAAACCAAGACTGAAGGGGAACTGGGACACACAAATAAATACACACAAGTAAACATATTCCCCATATTTTCCATATGTTCTGGGTTTCTGTCTCCCCCCCCACTTCCCATATTTTCCTATATTTTCTGGCGAATCGCAGATTAATTGTGTCTGTGTTTTTTTTTTCCCTCCTGAAAGACACCCTGCCCCTGGCGGCGCCTTCGCACCCCCGCGCGCGCCCCGCGGCCGACACGTGGCCACGGTGACAAAGGGCCAGCAACAGCACCCTCCCTCCGCGCCGGAGGCCAAACCAATTGTGGAGGGCCCGGGCTTGCCCGTGCAGTGGGGCGAGTCCCCGCAGCAGTGGACGACACACCTGCTGCGTAAGCATACAGTCGGGGCCTTGACCTACGGAACCCTAAATAAGGAATGAGGCCCCTTTTTTCCAGAAGCTTAACTTCGATTTCGTGTCGAAAACCTGAGGCAAATCCAAGGCAAGCTGTGAAACCATTAAGGAACGCGGAGCCCCTCACCCACGAAAAGAGTTCCCTCTTCAGGGACGGAGAGGAGGAGGAGGAGGAGGAGGAGGAGGAGGAGGAGGAGGAGGAGGAGGAGGAGGGCCCCGACTGTAGACTCTCGAAGTCCGCGCGGATTCTTCGGATCTGCGCTGGGACCCCTTGCCGGAGCCCCCGGCGCCGCCCCCGGCGCGCTCCGCGCGCCAGGGAGGGGGGCCCTCCAGCGCAGATCCAAGAAATCCGCGCGGAGCCCCAAACACTTATGTTTATATGACCTTTTCTCGACGCGCGAGCCAGAAAACCTGAAACTGACAA